GTCAATAAACATTGACAGTAGTGGCCACAGATAACAGCATACAAAAACTGCAGCTTAGTCCCTAATGCATTACTGAAGCAAGAAAAACACTATCATATAGAAACAGCCTTTCAGTCGGTGTCAGAGAGTCGTTAAGAACCCCGAGCTGAGAGCCCAGCTCACAGCACAAAGTCACATTAACCTGCTATAAAAAGAATACGGTTCAAACACATACGACTGGTATAAAACGCTCAATTTTTGATGCAGCCACTTCTCTACACAAGCTATACATACTGTCAGTGCACTCAGCCATGATTATACAAGAGATGAACGATGGAGGCTGCCCATTTCACTTTTTCCATGCACATTGTATTTGACAGTGTTATCTCTTTGATGATTATTAACTGTGGTCCACTGGGATCTGCTCCAGGCTAATGTAGCAGAAAGAGACGAGGCTGCGGGAGCATTTATAGGCCACTTTTACCGTACCTCGGGAGCCATCCAGAAGGGGGTTCCCACTGAGGTGTTCCTCCTCAGACGGGTATTTGTCAGCTGGGCTGAAACACCTGCAGGGTAGAAAACAAGACTCAGTGGAGACAATTCAAAATATCTCAATAACATGTTTTTATTTCTACAAAGATCACACTGGCAGGTAAAAGTGATGCTCTGTGAAAAGGGAAACAGTGCAGAGTAAACAGCAGGACACGGCTCAAATGATACAGAGCCCAACGGCTCTTGAAGCGTGCACTGATAGAGCCGTCGCTATAGTGACGAGGGAAAAAAGCAATACACACGCATAAACATCTGCAGTGCTTTTTTTCTTTATCCAAATGATAGACTGCCATGAATTACAAATTCTTATTTGACTGCAAGCGATTTTGGCATTTCAAGAACAACATTTGAATACAATTCAACTGTGAGCACGCTCTGGTGGCCGGAGACGTGTCACCTCCTCCCAGAACAAGACGCATCTGAGTGATTTATTGTCTGATGCTAGAGAGGCCCGAGTCAAGTCAGAGGCAGATACGTTCAGCAGAAATGGGACTGCAGAGAGAAAAAGAGGACACGTGTGTCATTACGTGTGTGTGTGCGCTGTGTTAATGTGCCTGACAAGGAACATGCTGACCCACAATCGTGACTTCGGTCCAGTCCAGACAAATCAGTGTTACGCCACACTGTGATGTATCCCAGGGCGGGCTCTGCTGAAGCAGCCGGCCAGATCAAGAGCAGCGACCGGGACAAAAGCAAAGCCTCGAGACAAAAGCGGCAACCCACAAACAAAAGGTGATGTAGTGATGCACGACATGCTGCTGCAGAACCGCGTCCCTGTCTTCTACTTCATGTTTTTATATGAAGAACATGAGGCGCACAGATTCTGCAAAATGTGTTTTAGCAGCCAGACGTGCAACATAAAAGCTTTTAGGAAATGAAAGGGCAATTTGAGGAAATGTAGCAACAAAACATCCAGATGGTGAACTGCATAAAAATCTGTTTAAAACATCAAAAGTGTGCAGACGGGCACGATCTCTAAGTAACAGAACAAAGCCATTTACACCACATGAATGTATTTCCAACCATGTCAGCAAATTTAGACACGGTGATGATCCTGCGCATCCATTTAAATGCTGTCACTGTTGGAGCTTGGGGGTTAAATCCAGGGGTGGAGAGAAATGCCGGGATGAGCAGTGTAAAGGAAAATGGTTCTGTGGCAAACATCAAAAGGGATTATAATCATGTGCAGGGCGGGGAGATGTAGGCATAAGGCGAACATACACACAGGGACAGTCACATCGTGTCGTAAAACCACAAACACACTAACATCACCCCACATTAGTGAAGACAAACTCAGAGTTTTACAGGGATTCATCCTTATACACAAACTTGTATGTGTTTGTTATGATATATAAGGCGTGTGAGGAATATCAGCGCGTGAAAGTACAGGTACACAAAGAGCCCCCTATTAAAGCTCTCTCAACCCCTCTGTTTCCACTACATTAGCCCGGAGTGCAGCCTGGTGGGCCACACACTTAATAATCATCACAGAGATAATGCCGTCAATTAGAATATTCATGAGAGACCGATGAACGAGCAGCTCTCCTCATTTCTTCTGCTGCTCTTTTTTGGGTCCGTCTTTTTTTTTGCTGTTCTGTTTCTCCGCCGGTGATGAGTCACTGCGGGGGCTTTATCTCTTCAGCTGCTCAGTGTAGCATGAGCCCCTCCACACGAAAAACCATTAATCCCAGC